ATAAACTCTAAGACTTCGCAAAATTACATGAAAAACAACTAGATTATGGGTAGTGTTTACTATACAATGATATACATTTATAAACATTTATATGTACATAAAATAATAATTTTCTTTCCATATTTACATACTTTATCTCCCTGCTGAGCGTAATCTTCTATATACCTCCTGGTTGAGGTCGAACAACCCAACATCTAAACTGAAATGACCATTTATGTAAATTCAAACTCAAATTCCATGAACGATCCGATGCAACCACTTGAAAACGCTGGCCAACATTCTGTACAAGGAGTATTCTTGATCTGAAATAAAGAAACAACTGGTTTTCAAGCAGTTTTCAATGAATTACTCAACTTACATGTACAGTCTGCCATGCTGACGCAAATGGCGCAAATGGATAGTTCTAGAATCGACCTCGGCCCCATTTAATGCAGTGAAACAATCTAACATTACCTCATCTAATTTTCGTATCAAAGATGAAATTTCTTTCCTATTATAAAACTACGATAAGACTGCTGACAAAAATGGAATAAATACATTATTGAATCAAAATAATACATCAATAAACTTTATCTCACGGATGCTGTTCACAACAAAGTTATATAGGAGAATTGACTTCAAGCTTTATTTTTCCCAGATACTTGTATTACATTCATCTGAAGTCTGGGTTTTTTGTTAATGCGAAGACAATATTTCTATATCTCTTTATGTGTTACACAGACAGACTATTTTGCAGACTGTTCCGACTGACTCTAATGTTAGATTGAACAAACAAACTGTAATTTATATAATAACTTATCCATGCCTGTACAATTGGTATGTTCCTGCATAAACAGGAATAAATATATATATATCTTAACCAGTGCCCCTCCTAGGTAGTAGAAACAATGTGGTCATTCTGCATGATCTGTTCCTTTGTGAGCGCTTAAAGCGGGATGCCAGACAACCTTGTATTTGCTATAGCAAATCTTGCGTCACCAATATGAGCAGGCTTCCGCACAACTCAGAATGGCCCATAGACTAAGCTGAGTTATCAGTAGAGAAACAATGGGAAATGGTGAAAGTGTCACCCGCACAGCGATATCCCCTACCGTCCCTCTAGTCGCACTACATTCTAAGAAACGACACTCATGGCTGAAGAGAGGCATGCTGTGTATTCGACAAGCAAGGCAGGAGACTTGGTTTATATGGTGACTCCCTTATAGCCAAACTGACCATGAGGCATGCCTGGATATCACGAACCGACGCGACCGACAAAAGGGTAAGGAGCGACAGAATGGCTTTTCAGGCGAATCTCTCCGTTAAATCTTGGCAATCCCAAGAAGCCTATACCGAATCACGTAGGAAAGAAATCCTATCAACCGCGCAGGAGAGACATGAGCCTTAGGAGGTCTAAATCATCAGTATCCCGCCAGTTTGAAAATGGTTGAAACATTCATCTTGATCTTTGACAGGTAGCTAACTAGCACTATGAGTAAACCCAATGGGTGAACCCCCGATTGGTCCCACAATGGTACTGGGGAAGTAGCAAGACTTATCTCTGGAGAGTACCCAGACTATGATGACATTCTACCATCTGTTTTGAAACAGTGCACAGAAGCTATCTGCAGGCTCTTGTGTGATCATTTACAGCGATCCATGGATTCGAGAAAACCGCCAAAGGAATAGATGACAGCCATCCTTACCCATATCATCAAGAGTGGGGACGGGCGAAACGCCACTAGTCTCAGACCAGTTGCGTGACTCCCGGTGGAATCGAAGTTACTGGAAAGTCTGACTGATGATAATATCAGGTGACACCTTGACAGGACTAATACAATACATGAAGCGCGACATGGTTTCAGGAAAGGTAGAGTGAGCCTCCGTAACAAACCTATTGCCAAAGTAGAATGATTCGTCTATGGTGGACTAAACACAAAACCCAGTTATTATATAAAGTACCGCGATAAAAAAGGCGTATTATTTACGATATTCAAATAGTATAATACAGCTACTGAGGCGAATACGTTGTATAATGTTACAGTTATTTGCAATTAGCTTTAAGTCCATCTTCCACAATTTAAATAATTTAAACCAGTGGTAAGTCAAATAGGTAGGCTTCGATGATATTTTACTTGACCACAGACGTTGCCGAAAGGGTGTTTGAGGGTGTCATAGTTCCTGCAAATTATAAAAGAGTAAGCACCAAAGAATTAGTATCGCCTTTAACGCTTAGAAAAAATTTGGGCATTTGGTATATGACGGTCAATATTACAAAAGGTTCTATATTTCTCAATTAGTGAAAGACAAAAAGATATTGTCGTACTTACTGGCATTTCACCATTTAAAGCTGATAGCTTCATCAAAGCAGTAGTATTAGACCAGAAGAATTTTCAAAATCCCGGCTGATATATGACAACTTAATCGGCGTTCATCGACATGGGACTAAAACCAGGTCAGGTTCTACTTTAGCCCATCATTTACGCTACTTTTATTTTAACTGCTAATAGTGTTATTGTGTGCGGAGAGTTATCGCAAAATATGCAATCATCTGAATTAATTATTTTCATTTGTAACGCAGAAGTATTCTAAGAGAAATTCATAGTCACTTTCTGATAGTAATACGAATCAAGAAGGGGAGAAAGGGAAATTACTCCGCATAGAAACATTGAATAAGCAACTCATATTAACGTTATCAAAACAGAATTTATTTAGTAGCAATAGTAATAATAATAATAAAGATACTGATCATCAACAGCCGAAACACCAAGAAGGACAACTGACTACCACGGATGGTCCAAAAACAGACGATCTTCAAACCATTAACCGTAACGATGAAACATTTTTACATGACCATGGAAATTATGTAGAACTGAAACTCAACAGGAACGATACAGTAGATACACTGAAATCTTTGTTAACTTATTCTGTATGCTTAGAAATAAGAGATCAAACAAATCAATGTTCAAATGGATATTCAATATGTTCACAATGTTCCATGCAATTATTACAACAGTGAAGGCAGATAAAATTTTGCTAAATGTCCCACTGGTAGTATTAATAACTTACAATATAAATTACATAGATGTTCACAAGTGAAACAAATGACTGCTGATGAATTACCACATCAGTGTCATTATTAAATAAAGTATAATACGTAGATTAATTAAACAACATGAATGTGAATTATGCCCAAATCTTTGTTATAATCTGCTTGGATGTGTGAAAAGTTAAATATGAAGATTTAAGTTCACATAGGATTAAATACACAGTCGCACCGATTGATGCAGCGTTATGTGGGTTATGCGGCTTCAGTGCATAAATGTTTTCACTTAGTTGGTTGTCAGACTAACAAACTTAGGTGACTCCTATCATTGTTACAATTGCAGTGAAGTGTAAAAGGTGACTGCTCGTTTTATTTGCATTACTTTACTTCTTAATACATTTGCTGAATATATGGCACTACTACTAAGTGCCCTGAGAGCTTAACCTAATAACCTTGTAGCGGTAGGTAATTCCTAAGAATTATTGGCCACAGCATTCGTAACTGAACACTGGATGCTGGCTCTCACTGTTTAAGTCAAATTGGCTAGCTGAGGGCCTCCAGTCAAGCATCGATGCCATTTGGTACGCTGTCGTGTTACGTTCGTTCTTTCGTGCACGATCCCTGGCTAATCAAGCAGTCATCTCGCACTCCGATTTGGTCCCGAAATGTAACTAGCAATTTGGGCGATCAATTCTTGTGTTTTGCTTTCCCTTTGGTCTACGCGTAACGAATACTATAAAAGTTGTGGGTACTAGGTCTTGCGTTAGTATACTTCGTACTATCCGTGAACATCAATACCTTCAGCCTTAAAATCTTCTATCAGTAGCTGAAGGGGTTGCAAGCATTACCAGAAGACCGGCACTTTGTATACAGAGGAAGTGTATACAACCGTTATGCTACCTTGGCCTACAATAAGGCCAACACGTCTTCCATAAACATTAACACTTAAATTCCTTTCAAAATTTTCTTTTCTTTTCCTATGTTTCATTGACAAACGTTCATTTTCGACTCTTATGATTTAATGACTTTTCCTATCATTTTATTACCTTAGGTTTAAGTAGTGTTTTTCTAACTTGTTATTGTATTTAAAAAATCCTGTTCGTTCCACTTCATATACATTCATTATCATTTTTATTATTTTACAATCATTCTTGTTGTCGTTATTTTTAACCTTGAAAGCATGTCTAGACCTCCCCATTCGTTGGTTTATTTTCTGTAATTTTCGTATTGTCTCACACACACTCTGATTACACTCACTCTCAGAACCTGTATTTTTGTTGACTGTACTTATATATATACACCATTAAATTATTTCACCTCATTTTATCTCATGTTCTCATTGACCACGCATATTAGAAATCTAACTGACTGTTGCTCCATCCCAACTTATGCTTGTTCCACAATACATTTCTGATATGATATCCATTTTAGTGTTTTGCATTGCCTTTGGTCTACGCAGAAAGAATAATATAGGACACGTAGGTGTTAGGTCTTGCGTTAGTATACCTCATACTATCCGTTAACGTCAATACCTTCAACCTCTGAAAGCTCTATTGTTGTGGATCTACTGTCATACCATTTCCGCTGGCACCGTGAACCTAGAATCTGTGCTCCAGTGTCCTTTACCGCCGATAACGGGGATGAATTCGTCCTAAAATCCCCGTTCACATGAATCGGTACAGTGGCATAGTATCACAAATGAATATGTAGACTGAATTCTGCTGCATTATCCTCATTAAATACAAGGTCTGTGTTTGTGACAATATTTTAAGTATTGGTCTATGCTGTGTTAACGCTTCGCATAGGTATATACTGTTTAGAGTTGAGACTGATGTCTCTTTTATATTTAAAGGTTACAGTACCTAACAAGTGATATTGGATATTGAATTGACCTTACTTAATTGCGGGTCGACTGAATTTCTTCACAACCTTGAGATCGAAGGGTTAGCTTACTCCTCGTTCTTGCTGTTGTGCTATGCCTAGAAGGCAGAGTAGTTTACGCTCAAGAATCAAAATAGGTTCGTTACTGGAAGCCAAGGACGCGTATGAAAAGTGGTATCCTGTGAAAGTACTTGCAGTTAAAGACGAACAGGTAAGCTAACTCATGTAGTAAACTACAATTAAGCCTTTTTTGTTTGTGCTTCGTTTCAATGTTTTTTTCGGTACGTTTTTGAATTAGCTTCATACGACACCTTTAATTGGTGGTTTAAAGAATCGAATGCTTAGGTATATAGTAAACGACATAATCACTTAATAGAATGGCCATGATCGATTTTATGTTATTTTGAAGTAGCAATTCAAATATTTCGTGTCAGACACATTTAACGCCGGGGTAGTTATTTCACTCCTAGAATTATTGTGTTTAGGGACATTGACGTTGATTTCGATGTATTCTTATGGTGACTTCGCAGGAATTCCGGATTTCGATGAAATATCAGTGTTCTCATATATTCACCCGTAGATCCATATTCGCAAAATATATAGATAAGTCTGAGTACTATGTTCTCGTGAGTCAGTGAGTTCATTTATTTTGTGCATATAAACTGGAATTTCTTTATGGGAACTGGTGTTTCGCAACCTATCATTATTTGTGATGCCAGTTTCCGGTGCATCATAAACTGAGAATAGGGTTGTGCTGTCGATGTCATGGCACTACAATAGAGAGATGTATGAGATGAGATTCAGTGAGAAACATTAAATGGCTACGTCACCAGGATTCCATGATTTTTCATTATTTCCTCCTGGACTTGTTGGTATGGGGATTTATTGGGCTCGCGTATTCTCGGCGGGGGTGGGGTATTTATCAGCCATAATGAACTGAATGCTAACTAATTGTCAGCACGTATATAGGAGACTCGTTTGGCATGTCATCTTCAGACGAGTTACCCACCGCAGGACATGAGAAACTAGCAACATGTCATTCTTTTCTTCTTTACTAATAAAATTTTTTGGCCATCAAAATAATTGCCAAGGCTAGAAAAGAAAGTCAGTTAAAAGGGGGTTGCGAACCTTCAGAGACAAATGGCAGACACTAAGACGTCGTTGTCCATGCTGCGCCACCATCACCACCACCTCCCTCGACATGCTCCTGTGTAGGCCTAGATTGGGAATGAGTAGAGAGGTGTTCAGACCAAATATTTTCTTTTTATTCTCTTGCATTCTGAGTAGGACATCTCATAGGGCTTCAAGCGTTTTCGAGGTGTGAAGCTTCAGTGTGGCAGTGGGTTTATTTTATTTTACAGCTTGGGGTTTCTACTCTCACGTCCAATCTTGCCTCTTTACCGAGCTTACTACCTACCAGCAGCTAGGTGAGGGGTACGGGGTGCGTCTGCTGAAGACCGAACCCTGCAGCTTATGTGTGTGTGTGTTGGCCGGCATTCCACCGCTGCACTACGGACACATGGTCAGACCAATGCGCATAACAACACTAACCCAAAAATTCTTCGTATGTTGGCTTCAGTTGCGCAAGGAGACCTAGATTGTGACGACGTTTCTCATGATGCTAAAAATTGATTGTTTCGAAGACTGTTAGGATAAGATAATTCAATCCTTACGAGTTGATCACGGATTGATATCAGTTAGAGAACCATTGAAAACCAACAGATGGAGTACTGGACAGCTGTTTCATCAGCCTAGTTTGGGTTCGAACCCAGGACCTTCCGGTTACAATGTAAGCTGGCTCGTATACCATTCGAACCCCAGTGGGTGCGTACTGCCGATGATTCCCAAACTAGGATGATGAAACAGCTGGCTGTACTGTACTGTACTGATTTTCAATGGTTCTCTAACTGATATCAATCCGTGATCAAACCAAACTATAGAAAGTAGTTCAATTCACTTTTTGTCAACATTTCGATTTTTGAAAATCTTCACTAACTAACCTTCATTTGATTGATTTGCTGTCTTCATACACCTTTATCTGTCATGGTTTCATTGCATTTCTCTTCTCCATTTTTTTTATTTGTGCTTCTCCAAAATATAAAACCTTGTTGAAGAACTGTGATATGATTTTGTGTATAGCTACTTCTACATTAAGTCAATCTCAGTTGAGAAAATTTCAGTAATAAATGTCTTGGAAGCTGAGTTCATTTAGGTGTAGTTAATGAATTGCTTGCGCGTTCAATGACATCATCGCGTGAGTAATTCTGAGGTTCAGCGGCGGCGTGTGTTTGACCACAGTGGAGATCATCATTCATTGAGTATTGTTGTCATCTGGAAACACCAGATGCAAATGTCATCCCAGAGGCTTCCGTACAGGTGTCTCTGTTCGCACTGGTCAGCCCTGGGACGGGATGGAAAAGGCGGACGGGGGTTGGTCAGTCCATGACGTGGCGTCGTGGGATGAAGGATCTTTGTGCTTCACGACTCCCTCTGGTTGGGGTCCGCGAGCTAGCTCGAATCGATGGCTGGAAACGTTATCTGATATAGCCAAGAATTGCCAGTCATCAATGGCGAACATCGTGTTGCAATTTCCTTCTTTCTTTCCTTCCCGATGAAGTTCTTTATCCGTTCTCTACTTATGGATTTTTTTACTTTTGATCTATGCTGTTTTACTGTTATTGTGTGGCACATCTTTCTTGGTGCCATATTGTACCAAGTTTTTTCTGCGTTTAAATAAATAAATAAACAAAAAATAGTTAATGAATGCTGCTGCTGCTGGATTCAACATAGAACTTGGCACCGAAGTGCAGCAGTTCGAGTTGCCACGTTCCAAATAGCACACAAAAGTAGACAGGAAAATGAGAGAAGAGAATCAATGGAATTTAGATAAGTATAAGAGTGGAACAGAATGAGTAATGGCAGAAAGGAATATGAAAGATTACACAAGAGACTGAATACATCTGCGTAAGCCATTGACAAGGATTTTGAGCCATGTCACCTATTGTCTCCAGCCATTGATTCTTACAGTCCCGAGGGCGGGCCCAAACACGGAAGTCTGCATCTCCCTACCTACCTGACTCAGTTTAACTGTCAAGGATTTCATGGATTGATGAGGCCATATTTTTGTTTGGCATGGCACCACTTACTCTTTTCCAACCTTCACCTATATCAGCTAGTAATGCCCTCGGGAGAGGGAGGCGATGGCTAGGCATGCGCAGCACGTGACCTAACCATCTCAATCTATGTAACTTCATAGCCTCTTCGAGTGATTTTCCCTCTTTGCCCAACACTCTACGCCTAACGTCAACATTACTTACCTTATTATACCACCTAACGCGAGAAAGAGATCGTAAACATCTGTGGTCGAAAACAGACAATCTCTTCATGTCTTTCGCTCTCAATGGCCACGTCTCACCGCCATAGAGAAGGACGGAGCGAACTGCTGAGCAGTATACACGTCCCTTGGTTGACAGCCGGATGTCACGCCTACGCCCGCCAGAGATGGTGTAAGTTAGCGAAAGCAGCCCGAGCTTTCTGGATCCGTGCTGTGATTTCGTCACCCCAATCAATCCGTTGGTGCTGATACAACTTCCCAAATAGAGTTAATGTTAATTCATTCAGTTAATGAATTGCACATTTCAAATTCTAGTCTATTGTATACATCGCTTACTGTTGTTAATCTTGTTATCTTCACTTTTAGGTTTATGTTCATTTCTGTAATTGGAGTTCACGATATGATACATGGTATCCAATCAACTCTAACTGTTTACGTGTGTTAAAAAAAAGAAATTCTGCTCAAGTTGCTACTGCTACTACTACTACTACTATCCAAGGTCAATCTGCTTCTCACAGCATTCCAGCAGCGGTGGTGGATGATAAGGGAAGAAGAGACGCTTCAGAAATTTCTGATTCACAACTAGAAGTAGGCAGTTATGTAATGGCTTCATGGCACAACGATTATGAATATCTTGCTGAGGTTCTAGCACATCGTCAACGACACGGTACAGAAGCAGAATATCGTTTACGTTATGTATGGGATCGTGTCGTCGAATGGACACCAGTTAGCCGACTGCGTAAAGCGACACAACATGAAATTGACTATGTTCTAGATTTCTGCAAAAAGCACAGTTCATCTGCAGTTGTTGTTAAGCTTGATAATAAAGCGCAGTCCCAACATTCAGGCAATGACGACGATGAACTCGACTTAGAAATGATTCAAACTAATAGAAAAAATATGCCAGACTCTCGTACTTCTGATATGGTGGTGGAGGTCTCTAGAAAGCCTCCTAGACGTCCTCCAACACGTCCCAATCCCAGCGCCTCATACATTGCAGATGATGATAAGAAAAACTCTAACTCAATACCGTATGATGTCATTGTTGAACAGGATGGTATGGTTTATGAAAAAAGTGTCTTTGAATTTCATGAAGCTTGTCGAAGACGTCGTGAACTGAAGAGAAAAGCTATTGGAGGAGGAGGAGGAGAAGAAAAGGCGAATTCTCCACCAAATCCATGTGGTGATGATGACGATGGGTTTGCAGCAGTAGCAGCATCTTCTTTATCTCAAGTATCCGTAGGACAACAGGATCCTCAGACCGCCACCACTGCTGTTGTTGACGCTGTGCTGCCACTAGCATTTCCTACAAATGTTGTTTCTCAGAAAGCCGAAAATGCCTCAGTCGTTAACATTCAACCATCAACGTCTGCGATTACGTCATCCGATGGGAAAAGTGACGAAATAGTAAGTAAAATCCATTCTTTATTCTATAACTGTATCGATTTAATAATATGTGTAAAACTTGGGTACTGTGGTGGTGGTAGTAAGTAATTCCATATTAGTTTGTTTATTACTTACTTTTACTTTACTTCGGCTATCTCCTACGGGAGGATGAGCCGGCTTCATGAACATCTCGAATCATCGTTGCCCAGGCGCGGCGATCTGATGAATAGAGTTCATGAAGTTTCATGGGAATTTGGTACGAGTGATGTCCCCAGAATCGCTCGGCCTTTTGTTTGAGAGTGCAGCTCTAGCCTTTACACAACCAAGTGTGACCTACAAGGCAGTAGGAGTGGAGTAGGGAGTCCACTATCCATTGGCAGTCGGTGACCGGAGTTCGATTCATACGCCTTTATGAATGGGGGCAGACATTCAGGACATCCAACAAGCCCTTTGTCCATACGTCTGCCGGTGAGCTCCAGTGAGCTTCATACGCCAGTCGTTGGAGGTTTGGAATCAGGGTTTAGCCATCTCCCTTAGACTGTCATCCAATGGACAGTCAACCCGGTGAAGAGCGCCGGGCATCCGCTTTCGCCCTCTCACTTTGGTGAAAAAAAACACACCTCCGCCACGTGAAGGCAGTGAGTAGGACTTCCTCAGGAGAGGCTATGTAAGACTCCCGGTCATATGGGAGGATTTCAAGAGGTGTGTGGAGGGGTGGCCGACCCGCAGCGCAAGGCACCCACCCCCCAACCATCCTGAGGCTTTGGAGGCCAGATATATCACACAGTGAAACAGTATTATTTACTGGATGACGTTTCGAACAAAGTTTATTGTTCATAATCATATCATCAATTATAATCACACGACTTCAAAACTTGAGTTTTATAGTTTTCTTTGTTCCCTCCTGTTTATCGTCATGGGCGTTGTAGTAGAATTTTCGAGATATCTGGGTGAACAGGTGTTGAATCATTCCTGTTACACGTATTCTCTCTTAGTTGATTCGATAAACAAAGCTTCTGTTATCAATCTTCCCCATTTGCCACCCTGTGGCATTAGATTTTAAAACTGTCATCCTATCCTATCTCATTCTATTGTATGGTTGTGTGTAATTGCATGTAGTGAGTGGTATAACTGAACTATTCTCTAGATTTCTTATCTTATTCCGGTCAACTAATCTAGATTTCGCAGCTAAGTTTTTATGCTACTCGGCTAGTCTGACTCACTGACTGCCCCTGTTCTACTACTTCGACCTACGTATTTGACCTGACAATCATCGCAGCTGCAGGGTATTAGATAAACTAAATTGTTTCAATGCTAGATTTTAGCGTAAAAAGGAAAGAAGATAGGAAGTTAAACACGCTAGTGTGTTTACAAGAAACCCACACATTCAAACACATGTTTGGACTTCCGATCATCCCATCCAATCTATGTCAGTGAAAATAGGATTGGTGAAATGTTCAAGTGACGGAGCACAAAATCTAAGTAGTAGCAAGGAAAATGTAAGACAGGAAGTGAGATATATAAGAGAAGCCTTGAAATTTAATAATTACCCTGATAAATTAGTCAGGAATTGTGTAGGGAAATGTGAAAATCAAATAAATAATGATAGTAGTGATAGTGATAATAATAATAATAATATGAATGACGACATGCAAGTCAAGTGTGCACAAGACAACACCGACAATAAGAAATCTAAATCATCAGTAGTACTTCCATACAAGGAAGGAACATCGGAAACCACCTAACGCACGATTCTTAACAAGTCAGGCAGGAATAAAAGTGACCGGCATTTAAACCCACAAACTCAATTAGAAACAAGCTTTGTCGGTTAAAGGATTCTGTGAAGTCTTGCTGTGTAAGTACTCTGTTGGCTATATTCATATATACTAAATATTCCCATAGTAAAATTTAGAACAACACATTTAAGCGAACAATATTGTTTTCAATTAGATCTCATCAGGCTTAACTCTAATATATATATAAGTTTACAAATAAAATTCAAATATAAACCAATCATGGTGTTTTGTCTATAGGATAATTTCTATTATTACTATAATAATTATTATCATTACTACTATTATGACTAATTGCACAATTTATATTCACCACCGTATTATCCTATAAACAAAACAAACACCATGATTGGTTTATATTTGAATTTTATTTGTAAACTTATATATATATATATATATTAGAGTTAAGCCTGATGAGATCTAATTGAAAACAATATTTTTGATTGCACACTAGTCAGTAACTAGTGTAATGTGTCTAGTCCTATCTTCGGTGCAGACTGAATTCTATCAGTCATGTTTGCAATGTGGCCACCATGCTAGGTGGCTCACCATTACGGTGCACTGTGAATTGTTGGTATTAGATGGTTGGAGGCAATCGGCAGAAGCCTTGGACCTAGGTTTCGTGCTAGTTGGCACTCACCAGCAAGGCGTATCTACAACCTTGAAGGAACTGATGTCCCTTCTGAGATTCGAACCCACATCACCCAGTGCTGTAGTCAGAGACAGACTAGACACATTACACTAGTTACTGACTAGTGTGCAATGAAAAATATCCAATACAGTCCTACAGGAGGTCAGTCGTGAGCCTGAATAGCTCAGTGGTGACGTCTTTGACTACAGCACTGGGTGACGCGGATTCGAATCTCAGAAGGGACATCAGTTCCTTCAAGGTTGCAGATACGCCTTGCTGGTGAGTGCCAACTAGCACGAAACCTAGGTCCAAGGCTTCCTGCCGATTGCCTCCAACCATCTAATGAAAACAATATTGTTCGCTTAAATGTGTTGTTCTAAATATATATGTATATATATACATCATTAAATTAAATTACTTCATCTCATTTTGTCCCATGTTCTCATTGACCTTGCATACTAAAAAAATTGACTATTGTTCCATCCCATCTCACTTATACTTGTTCCACAATGCACTTTCTAATACGATCCTAATTCGCCTTTACTGACTGGCTGGCTATTGTATTGTGCGTCGGTGGCACAGTGGTTAGGACTCTCGCCGACGATGCACATGGTCCGGGGTTCGATCCGCTACCGACGCACACCCGATATCTATGGTCGGCCTGCAAAATTTGGGCTACTGATATCCATGCTGAAAATGCCATACTTGTACTGCAAATACGGTGTGGCATCAAGCTGTAACCAAAAATAAAATAAATAAAATAAATTTATTAATGGATTTATAATTGTAGAGCAGCCTGAAGAAGGAAGAATTTATTGAAAGCGACAATTTTTCGCTCTAACTATTTTGTTGTTCTAAAAATAAATTATGCGAATATTCAATTTAAATTTTATTCATCTTTGAAAAGAATCGTTACTGAACAAAGAATAAATACTCTTTTCGATAACCCCTTCATCATCAGGCTCTACAGTTATATATCCATCCATAATAGTGAATGAATGAATTAGTGTTGCTGTTTAAATAGCACCAAATCAATAGTAATAATAATACCAATGGATTACAGTTCAATAGCATCAACATAAAAATACACACTGAATGTCAGTTAAATTAGGAAAGATAATATTACAAATTCATGAATTTATAGTCTCTACTGAAGGCCGGTCAGGACAGTAGTAGTGGCTGGCTAGCTGGACTTGCTTCTTTTGCACACATACAGCACTGGTTGTTTGAGGCGAATTGCAATAGCCTCTGGTGTTTGGAGCATGCAGTGGGTGCTTCAATGATGATTTTAGAAATTTATTAAGCACCTGGTAGATGGTGATAGAGAAGGATTCTTCAATGCTATCAGGCTCTGTGGCCGACCGGTTTGCACCAGATGGTCAAATGTCGAACTGTTGATGATGGTTTCCGCTAAACCTTTACTTAGCCATAGTGGGAGATATTCCCGAGCGAGCGAGCACGAAAAATCAAGTTCCTAGAGCAACAACGGCCGATATAACTCGCTACACCAAAGGAGAGCAGTTGAATCGGTAGATACAATGTGAAGTGCCCAGCTAGTCTAGTCTAGGTACTTCATCTTTCAGTCGAGGTAGCACCATCGGTCGTCTAGAGAATAAGACGTGTAGTTCGCCGACAGCATTACAAGTTTTTTGAACTGATTTTCTTAATTTCCTCGTAATTATCTCACTTGGTATATCGATCGCCCTTGAATTGCAGTCGTATATATATATATATATATATATATATATATATATATATAGTGGCTTCTTTGTTTTCATCTTTGTTATCACAGCAGCAAATCAAATCATCAATGCCACAAAAGGCTTCTGCATCTTCGGTAGATTCTTCATCGTCCACGTTGTCAGAATCGTCGTCTTTCAATTACACACAACAACAACAACAACAAAGTCGTCAACGAACTGGTTTTTTGCGCCAGAAAGGCACCAAAGTGGCCGACACTAATTCTTCTACAGCAGAAATACCCCAGAAGATGCCAATGAAGTCCGTTGCAGCAGCAGCAGCAGTCGCTACCGCTGTTGCTTATGCCTGTCCTTACTGTCCACGTCAACTGCGTAATTCATGCCTGCTCAGCGCCCACATCGCCAACTATCATCATAAAAAGGCGTCATCATCATCATCTAGGTCTACGAAACCGTCTACAACAGTTTCTCAAAAACCATTTGCACTACGGGAATCATCTCAAGCAGCAGCAGCTTCAGCAGCGAATAATTCCAGACCGCTTTCAAAACGAAAACAAAGGTAACTTGTTTTTTGCTTTTTTTAATAGGTGTGTCTTTTTGTCAGCTTTCTTTCTTCATGTTAAGAATGATTTAAATAAAAAATAGCCAGAAGTGAACAAATTATGTAACAACAGAAGACAAGGGCCAGTCAGGCAACAGATCGTTTATTAAGGAAAATCAACACATATTTATAGATTTTATTATTATTATTATTATTATTATTATTATTATTATTATTATTGTATCCTTTAATTCCTACAGGAACATAGGGCTTCAGCCGTGCGTCTCCATTGAGTTCGGTTCTCTGCTAGAGTTTTCACATGGCTCCATGTCTGCCCACACGTTTTCATCTCTTCACATGACCTCCTCCAAGTCACCCTCACCCTTGCACTGACGACCAACTCACCGCTTCCCTTTCGGTCGGGTTCCACTCGAGCAATGGCTTGTCTAGTGATGTCACTTGATGGTTTCCTCAGAGTATGGCCAGCAAATCCATCTCCATTTCTTCCTGCCTATTTGTTTCACAATCGGTTCCTGGTTGGTTCGTTCCCAAAGATCCCTGTTGCTGATCTTTTCTGGCCGGCCATCTGATCTTGTGTATTGAGCGAAGACAACTGTTAATGAAGGTCTGTAGTTTGTTTGAGATGCTCTTGATGACGCGCTGGCCAAGTCTCTGATCCGTATAGTAGCACTGACTTCACATTGGAGTTGAAAATCCGGATCTTATTTTTGATGCTGAGTGTTGTTGACCTCCACACAGACTTGAGAGTAGTGAAAGCTTGTCTTGCTTTCCCGATCCTCGCTGCTTTGCTATCCTCGTCAGTTCCGCCTGTAGTTGAAACGATGCTTCCCAGGTAGGTAGGTAGGTAAAGGAGGTTGTTTCTTTCAGGTTCCTCCAATTTATGCTGATTGTTGTCTGTTGTTCTTACTGTTGATGGTGTTGCCCAGGAATTTTCATCACCTCTGTTTTCTCTATGTTCAACTGAAGTGAATTCCTATCTTTGATGCTTCTTCTGCCAACTTGTTGCTTTTCGCTTGCATATCTTCCAGTTTGTGGGAAATCAGACATATATCATCGGCGAAGTCCAGATCCTCCAAATTCTTTTTGTATGGGTCCATTTTATGCCCGTTTCCTCATTGCCCGCTGTTTGTCACATTATCCAGTCTACTGCAATCAGGAAAATCATTGGCGATAGTAGGCAGCCAGCCTTGTCTTACTCCTGTCCTCACTTTGAAGGGTTCCGTAAGTTTCCCATTGTGGATTACTTGGCATGCAGCATTGTCGTATAGCTGTTGGATGAGATGTATTATTGTCGGTGGCACCCCTTGGTAGTAGCGAAGTAGTTTAATGTACATTATTGTAGATTATTGTTCGCAGACAAACACAGTCTTCTGATTGGCTGTTTCTCCTTGTGGCTGTTTCTTAAAGATCAGATCATCTGCTATCTGCTAATTGTATCCGCCTACGCAAAGCCTTTGTTCTCATTTTCTCACCACCAATATTGGGGACATCAACAACATTGACGTCAATTACGATCAACCGACTTGGCTAGAAGCCAGCTCTCACCACAAAAATATATGTGCAAACCAAGTTCACTTTTAACAGTTTGAAAAAACACTGGGCATTGGGTATATGATATACATTATAACAAAGATTTTTATATTTCCCAATAAATGAATTTTAAAAAAAACGATATTGTCGTTTTTACTGACGTTTCGCTATTTAATGGTGTTGCTAATAGCTTTATCAAAGCAGTATTATTAAGCAAAACAACTACCCAAGAAGGGACTTCATCAACAAAATCAACACTGACATTAAGTATGGCCGAAAATGCATTCCAAAAACATGGACCTCAACAGTTGTCATTCCATAAAGAGCAGAGACGACTGGTGAAACGGTATCAGAAGAGTGCTCAATAAGCTCGACATTCGAGTTTTCTTCAAAATATCAGACACGCACAGTGCGAAACAATCTTGTCCATATAAAAGACTAAATCCCTAAAGATCCTCTATCAAATTGTGTCTATAAAATAAGATGCTTGCTTGGAATGTGATGCGATTTACATCGGACAAACATCTCCAGTGAGAAATCAAAATCAGAAGAAATGAACACCGTAGAGCATCTGTTCGACCACAGAGAAATAAATCCAGTTGAACTAGAAAAGCTTGAAAAATCATCAGCCACAGGTCGTCTACACACTACGCTATAGAATCAGGCCACAAAATTGATTTTGACAATATTGAAATCATTATCCAAAAAAATTTCAGAGATCACAAAGAACGTCTAATATCATCAGAAGCACTTCATATCAAGGGGAATTCAAATTGTCTGAACTCAATAGGACTGACGGACTAAAACAGAATCTGCACTGGTTACACCACCGGCAACCCCTCCCCCATGAAGTGACAAAATCAACACGAATGTGATAAGCAGTTTCACTATGAAAAAACATGCTGCTTCTATAATTTTACACACTGATCAAATCCAACAGTCATCTACACTTAGTTTTGTTATCTTTACCAATTGACCAACTTGACAACGAAAAATGACCCCATACTGACGAACGATGATCAAGTTAGTATAACTTTGTTTTGATACTAGCCAGGGAAGATGTACTATGTGACCTCTGTTATTTGATTTAATGGCATTAAATAGCGAAACGTCAGTAAAAACAATATATGCTCAATAATGGCGCTCCTTATTGCTCCGTTGTTACCTTTCCGTAGCCAGGCGGGATAGTGTTCTTGAACTCTTTTAGGTAAAACACGCATCGAACGACCTATATACCTCGCTCCGCAAGAGCAGGTGAATTGGTAGATACACATGGAAGTGGTCAAATGCGATAGTTTATCTTTAGAGTAGTTGAAGAACAATGGCCGGGAGGAAAATGTCAGTCGTAGTGTGGCAGCGAAGAATGTCCTTCTGAGAGCAGTAGATATCCTCTTCTTCAAGGTGTCAGCTAGAAGGTCACCTTTGAAGGGTACATTCATGTAGACCATCTTCTTCTGCACTGTAATGGATTGTTCTTTGTACGTCTTAGGATTAATGTGCTTGTCTATAAAACGGGCTGGGTAGCCATTCTCGAGCAGTGTCTTCCTTAAGAGGGCGATCTCTTCCTCTATTGATTCACGACTACAGATTTTTCGGATTTTAGTCGCCAGAGATATTATCAAATTTCGCTTGCGACTTATTGGTACCCAAGTGTAGAAGTTTGTCAACTGACCGTTCCATGTAGGTTTTCTGTGTACTGATCTGTTCAAGGTACCATCGGTCTTCTTACTTAAACGAACTTCCAGAAAGGAGATTGTCTCATTGGTTTCTACTTCGATTGTAAATTTGATGGCGGGGTGGCAACTATTGAAAACTTGAAGAACAATATTTTGATCACAATTGTTATCACAGATGACGAAAGTATCATCGACATACCTTTTGTATAAGAAGAATTTGTCGATGGTCGCTTTCAGCGGACCGTTTTCCAAACTTGCCATGGAAATATCAGCCAACACCGGACCCAAAGGTGATCCCATCGCCACGCCATCTTGTTGTCTATAAAAGTTCCCATTGAATGTGAACTGGACATTTAGGGTGCATCTGAGTAGGAGTTCTTTTAGCTTGATGGTAGGTATTCCAATATCCAGATTGTTTTCTTCGAAGTATTTGCATAGAAAACAAATCGTCTCAGTAATAGGGACGTTTGTAAAGAGAGACTCGATGTCGAGTGAAATCATACGTTTGTCTCCCACTTTAACATCTTTGATGCGATCGATGAATTCAAAAGTATCTCGAAGAGAATGTTTTGAAATTCGTTCTCTAACAGGTTTTAGGAGTTCTGCTAGCCAGACAAAACCGAAGCAACGGAAAAACAGCTAACTGAGATCTTGAGAAAGCTAAAGACTGATCAAGTTATCTCTGAAAATGTCTTCGAGAGCATTCGATCCACAGGTTCAATAATACCCCGACTATACGGATTGCCAAAAACTCATAAACAAGGTCTTCCACTGCGCCCTATTTTGGACATGTCGGGATCTCCATATCATCCAATAGCGAAATGGCTGTTGACGTCTCTGCTCTACATGTAATGACAACTGTTGAGGTCCATGTTTTCGGAATGCGTTTTCGGCCATACTTAATGTCAGTGTTGATTTTGTTGATGAAGTCCCTTCTTGGGTAGTTGTTTTGCTTAATAATACTGCTTTGATAAAGCTATTAGCAACACCATTAAATAGCGAAACGTCGGTAAGAGCAACAATATAGTTTTGTTTTTCATTCATTCATTGGGAAATACAAGAAAATCTTTATTCTAATGAAGAAGAGTGAACAAACTTTGGTAGTAGTGATGCTGTAATCATTTATTTCCTACCACTAAATTCTCAGAATCTCGATCTCGATTAAAGAGCAGATAAGAATTGAAACAATTTCTATCCAACTGTATGCACAAAAGCAACAACACTTTCTCAGGAGTAGCATTGTGGTGAGAGCTGTCTACTGGCCGAATTGGTAGACAGTAATTTACGTCAATATTTACATTCCCAAGATTTGTTGTGAGAAACAACCAATCGGAAGACTGTGTTTGTTTGTTTGTTTACATATCCATAGTAATGTACATGAAAACATATATAACAAATATGCGTTGATTTCCTTAATAAATGATCTGTTGCCTGACGACTCTTGCATTCTGTCGTTACAGCATGACGGAAGTATAAAGATTATCAACTGAAGAAAAGTTTCCTTCTTAGCGAAATCATCTTCAGAGTCTGTATGCATTATCATTGTAAGAAGTATAACACTTTATTCAAATGAACTGTCGTCAAGATTTGACAGAATAGTTCTAAAATATTTGGGCGCCGAGTGAGAAGTAGACATTTGTAAAATATTATATTTGTAAAGTCTCAGCGAGATTGAAATGAGTAATTCCAACAAATATAACTTTTTACAAATGTCTACTTCTCACTCGGCGCCCAAATATTTTAGAACTATTCTGTCAAATCTTGACGACAGTTCATTTGAATTCTTTTGCAATCGAATTAAATTAACAAAGAAACTGTGTAACTGGCACTATCATCAGCGTGTTTTCACTCTCCGTTGTCTGCAACAGAATGCATATCCTAAATCCGTAGCTGTCGAGTCACCTGACAACTCTCCAGTAGGTCGAATAAAGCAGCTCAATCTTCAGAGAGAAGAAGACAAATCAATAAGTCCGACAGGGTGCTTCTACTAAACGCTAATCCTAAACACCATAATTTTGAAAATACGTCTAATCATAAAATTTTAGATACTAACAGTTTGAACGGACATGAAGGCGTGATGTTAGCTGATGCATAGGAAATCCTTATTAATAAATAAAAATGGATATGTATCACTAATTATTAATACTTGGTCAAAATTCCCGACTATCCATATCTTCTTATGGAGACGTTAAGAAATGCTTTACAACTGTTTACCCACACACACACATACACACTCTGTTTAAAGTGTTTAACAAAGGTAGACCAATATTTGTATGTCCGAGGTCAAATTTTGATCACAGCTCATACAATTTTGTTTATTATACTTGTTAATACCTGTGTTCATGAATCATGATTGGACAAAGTTTTTAGAAAGATGTGCCTTTTATATAAAAAAACCCTCTGTTATGTTAATTTTGATTAATTTCCCTGAAGAAGTTCGGACCAGATTGCCGAACGAAACGTTGGAATTACTCATTTCAATCTCGCTGAGACTTTACAAATATAATTTTTTACAAATAACACTTTATTGTTGTAAAAGTAAAACAGCAAAATGATGTGTGTTGTTAACTAATAACGCAATAAGTGTGAAGGTTAGGGGTGTTTGAAATTCGATTAGGCGAAAACTGATATTAGACGAGGAGGAGGGAGAAAGGAGGCTGAAAGTCTATTTGTGAAATGCTTAGGAAGGAGGGGGAGGAGGAGGTATGGAAGAAGAGAAACTAGTACAATGATATACATGCAGGCATATTATTATTATCAAAACAAAGTTGCCAACAAGTGCTCTGCACTCTGAAGGCGGCCTTCGACTCCGTGGATCGAGAGGTACTATGGCAATGTTTGACTGTGAAGGGAGTGCCAAGAAAGTACATTGCACTAATCAAGGCACTCTACTCAAACTCATGTAGCTGTGTAAGGGCTTATGGGGAATTGTCATCTGAATTGATAACAACCTGTGGTGTCCGTCAAGGGTGTCCACTTTCCCCTTTTCTGTTTAACTTCATCATAGATATGCTAATGGAAGTATCCTTAACTGAACTTAACGACTTAGGAATCGACTTGTTACCAGGGAATAGTCTTATAGACTTAGAATACGCAAACGACATAGTCCTGTTAGGAGAGGACGCTGACAAAATGCAGAGTTTTCTGAACACCTTGAGCTGCAGCAATCTTCGTATGTTTGGCATGCGATTTGCCCCTGTAAAATGTAAGATGCTGCTACAGGACTGGAATACGTCAACTCCTAGCTTAGTGATAGGGAGTGAAGTGATAGAACATGTTGACCACTTCACCTATTTGGGAAGTTGTATCAGCACCAACGGATTGATTGCTGACGAAATCACAGCACGGATCAAAAAGCTCGGGCTGCTTTCGCTAACTTACACCATCTCTGGCGTAGGCGTGACATCCGGCTATCAACCAAGGGACGTGTATACTGCTCACCAGTTCGCTCCGTCCTTCTCTATGGCGGTGAGACGTGGCCATTGAGAGCGGAAGACATGAAGAGATTGTCTGTTTTTGACCACAGATGTTTACGATCTCTTTCTCGTGTTAGGTGGTATAATAAGGTAAGTAATGTTGACGTTAGGTTAGGTGTGGAGTGTTGGACAAAGAGGGAAAATCAATCGACGAGGCTATGAAGTTACATAGATTGAGATGGTTAGGTCACGTGCTGCGCATGCCTAACCATCGCCTCCTCCTCCCAATGGGCATTACTAGCTGATATAGGTGCAGGTTGGAAAAGAGTAAGTAGTGGCCAAACAAAAACATAGCATCAATCCATGAAATCCCTGACAGTTAAACTGAGTCAGGTAGGGAGGGAGATGCAGACTTCCGGGTTGGGGCCCGCCCTCGGGACTCTAAGAATCAATGGCTGGAGACAGACAATAGGTGACATGGCTCAAAATCGTTGTCAATGGCTTACGCAGATGTATTCAGTCTCTTTAACCTTTCATATTCCTTTCTACCATTACTCATTGTGTTTCACTCTCATACTTGTCAAAATTCTATTGATTCTCTTCTCTCATTTACTTGTCTACCTTTGTGTGCTCTTTGGAACGTGGCAACTTGAACTGCTGCACTTGGGTGCCAAGTTCTATGTTGAATCCAGCAGCAGCAGCAGCTGTGATTTCGGTTGTGATTTTTCCGGTTTTCAGAGATGTGTCAAACCCTATGCAACTAAATGGCTGACTCCACAGGGGCAGTTACATATAGATACATGTAGATACATACACACATAGAAGAGGAGAAATTAGGCAGTTCGTCTTTTACTCCCGAATGATGAACGCAAAAGAGGAGTGGGGGTGGTTTTGAAGACACAGCGTAATTCGGCAGCAGTACTGAATGTTCTTTTTACCGCATTTCCGAACATCACCCACCCTGCACAGTGGTTGGTTGGTTGGTTAAGTAAAGGACAAACAAAATCCATCTATTCGCATAGCGCTATATTCTATCTCACTCATCGTCTTGTGGATACAGAACACAAGACTGATTGATGTTAACCAGGCGGGTTTCAGGGGCATTTAATAATGATAATAATAATAATTTGCTTTATTCCAGAAACAGTACTAGTGGTACAGTGTGGAATTTTCAGCACATATCTACTATATTTGCATCTAATTTTACCGACATTTAAAATAAGTACTAAACAGACAAAAAAAATAAATCTAAAGACACCAACAGCAAAAAAAACAGGATAAACACAAAATAATTATAAATGCGAAAAAGTACCAAAGTCTACCAAGGTCTAATGCAGTGTTTGTGGTGGTAGTGTGAGTAATCCTGAATATTACAAAAAATTTTAAGGTGGTGACTATGGCGTTCACAACCAATGATTGTCAGTTTAATATTGCCGAAAAGTATAGAAAATAAGAAAAAGCAACCACAAAACTAATAATTACATGATGGTTAATGACAGGACAATTTTGTAATGCTCATAGTGCTAATAGAGTCGGAACCAGTGGATACACAATAGAAGGAATGTAGTATAGTACAAAAAAAGGAAGCCAATGTTAATATTTTAGGTAGCTAAGTATGTTTGAAGAAGGAGTTCACTAAAGAATACAAAATAAGAGAGAAATAAAAGAGCCTAAAATTATGTTGTTAATAACAGAGCAAGTCAAAGGTTTCGTGCTTAACATTGTCTCTGTCGCTTAGAACACGGGCCAAGTATGGTATCGTTGAGTTCCTGTACTTGGTTGTACGAGCATAGATTCTTTTATACTGATTTCTGGTTCCACCTGATGAGATACAAGGCGAGAGTTGGGAATGGAGGGGGTGTTGGGGGTCTGAGAGTATGGTTTTTGACCATTTTTCGCATGTATTCAGATGCCTATCAACTAAAGTAGTGACGAGCTGACTGAGATTAACACCACTAGTCCTACTAACTACTGTCAACATCCTTCTCAGGATGGAATAGTCCTTTTTCAGTAGACCAGGAAAGACTAACGGGGAGCAGTAAAGTAGAATAGGTAAGATACAAGAGTTGACAAATTGTGAAAGTACCAACTGACAAATCTCAATTTCGCCTTAACGGTTCGACTACTAAACATTGCTGAGGCTGGGTGACTGTTGTGAACCATATTAACAAGCCTAATTTGTGCATCCAAAAGAAGTTGGTTGGTTCAGACATTATCCATCCTTACCCGCTTGGCCATCTACGTTTGAATGATCGATCCTGAATTTTTGTGGAATTTCCCTAATTTTAGTTGATATTCTATTTTCTAGTATCTTAAAAAATGAACTGTGGTGATTCCCATTGTGATCTTACTTTACAAATCAATATTATTTAAAAAGCACACACTAATATTGTTATTGATTACTAATCTAGAATATTCTATGTATATAAACATGCATATATATATATATAATTGTAGAGCGAGAAGAGGAGGAATTTATCGAAAAGGGGGATATTCTTTGCTGGCTCAATGATATTTTGTGTTTTATAGGTAGATGTCTGAATGAATATTTTTTTGTTTTGTTATACTAATTAATTTATTTGCTTATATATTTCTGGTAATTTTCATTCACTCTGATGATGCTGCGTCGTCGTCGTCGTCGTCAAGTGCACCGAAATTCACTTGCCTCCTCACTTGTTATCGATGCAATACACGAACAACAACCTACGTCAGTGACGAGGTGGTACCTGCTGGTCTTGTTCAATGCGGATATTGTCTGTGTTGGCAACATTGTCGCTGTTATGGATTACCATTGGACATGAATTCATTGGCAGTTAAAACACTTAAATTCCCTTTCTCATTTGTTTGTGATTGCTGTCGAATGGTATTACGCCCAGTGAGAAGATCCCGTCAAAATGAATGGCAAGCTAGTAGTCGTAGTCGTAGTAGTAGTAGTGGTCTGCTACAGCAGTTGCCGCCTAACGGTTGTTCAGAATACACTCAGCGAGATTTGTTTGCCCAGGTGACAGCTGTTTTGAATAAAACCTGTCAGTTACGTCCGTTAATCCAGTCTGGTCAGTATATGCTGAACAAGTCGTCATCGTCGTTGCCTCGGTGGACTTATGAAACTAAGCAAGATAAAGAGGAAGAAGAAGAAAAAGACGGTGGAACAACCAGGTGCAAAACTGTACGTCAAGAAGATGCATCATCATCATCATTATCATCGAAGTTAAGGGAAGTTGAAAGTTCGAAATTGTGTACAACAACAACTACTACTACCACTAAACAACATACAGCCTTCGATTCGCATACACCTGAAGATCAAGTTAATCGTGAGTTGTTGTTTTTTAAAAAATCTTTAATATATTATTATTATTGTATCCTTTAATTCCTACAGGAACATAGGGCTTCAGCCGTGCGTCTCCATTGCGTTCGGTTCTCTGCTAGAGTTTTCACCTGGCTCCAAGTCTGCCCATACGCTTTCAATTCTTCTTCACATGATCTCCTCCAGGTCACCCTTGCACTGACAACCAACTCGCCGCTTCCTTTTCGGGTTCCACTCGAGCAATGGCTCGTCTAGTGATGTCACTCACTTGATGGTTCGTTTTCTCAGAGTATGACCAGCCAATCCACCTCCATTTCTTCGTGCTTATTTGTTTCACAATCGGTTCCTGCTGGGTTGGTTCGCTCCCAAAGATCCCTGTTGCTGATCTTTTCTGACCATCTGATCTTGAGTATTGAGCGAAGACAACTGTTAATGAAGGTTTGTAGTTTGTATGAGATGCTCTTTATGACGCGCTGGCCAAGTCTCTGATCCGTATAGTAGCACTGACTTCACATTGAAGTTGAAAATCCCGATCTTATTTTTGATGCTGAGTAGTGTTGTTGACCTCCACACAGACTTGAGAGTAGTGAAAGCTTGTCTTGCTTTTCCGATTCTTGCTTTGATATCCTCGTCAGTTCCGCCTGTAGTTGAAACGATGCTTCCAAGGTAGGTAGAAGAGTTTGTTTCTTTCAGGTTCCTCCCATTTATGCTGATTGTTGTCAGTTGTTATTGTTGCTGTTGGTGGTGTTGGCCAGGAATCTCCATCACCTCTGTTTTCTCTATGTTCACCTGAATTCCTATTTTGTCTGGATGCTTCTTCTGCCAACTTGTTGCTTTTCGCTTGCATGTCTTCCAGTTTGTGGGAAATCAGACGTATATACTACATCGGCGAAGTCCAGATCCTCCAAGTTTTTTGTGTGTGTCCATTTTATGCCTGTTTCCTCATTGCCCGCTGTTTGTCGCATTATCCAGTCTACTGCAATCAGGAAAATCATTGGCGATAGTAGGCAGGCTTGTCTTACTCCCGTCTTCACTTCTTCGAAGGATTCCGTATGTTTCCCGTTGTGGATTACTTGGCATGCAGCATTGTTGTACAGCTGTTGGATGAGATGTATAATTGTCGGTGGCACCCCTTGGTAGTAGCGAAGTAGTTTCCAAATCACCTCTCGATCGACGCTGTCAAAGGCCTTTTCAAAGTCGATGAAGTTGACTGCCATTCCAGGCTTTGTTCAATGATGATCCGTAATGTGGCGATCTGATCAATGCATGACTTGTTTCTCCTGAATCCAGCCTGTTCCGGTCGAAGTTTTTCATCCAGGGCGGTGTGTTTGATTCTCTCCAGGATCATGCGGCTTAGTATTTTGCTTGGGATGGACAGGAGCATAATTCCGCGCCAGTTCTTGCATTGACTTAGGTCTCCTTTCTTTGGTAGTTTGAATAAGTATCCTTTCTTCCAATCCTCAGGTACTTTGCCTCCTTTCCACACCTTCTCCAGTAGTGACGTCATCAAGCCCGCTGTTGTCCCATATAGTAAAATTTAGAACAATTTAGAACCTGCTTAAGCGAACAATATTGTTGTGGAAGACATGAAAAGGCTGGCTACCTGTCTGTGATCATAGGTGCCTGCCTGTGTTCTATCTTCCATGTGAAGTGTTATAATAGGGTGAGAAATATTGAGGTTAGGCGTTGGTCGAGTGTTAAGTAAGCAGGAGGGGAAATCAATCGACGAGGCTGTGAAATGACATCGACTGAGATGGTCAGGACCCGTGTTACGTATGCCTAGCCATCGCCTTCCTCGACAATGGGCAATGCTAGCTGACATAGGATTGGTCAGACTGGAAAAGAGCTAGTGATGGTCAAACCAAAACAAGGTTTCACCAGTCAATGAAATCTACAACACTTAGTTTAAGCCAGCCAGCCACGTAGGAAGTTGTAGACTGGCTTCCTGACTGGTTGGGGTCCTCGGGATGACGGTAAAATCCAATGAAGGCTGGAAACAATTGGTGGTGACATGACTCAAAACCGTTCTCAATGGCTGGCTGGTTAGCTCAGATGCATCCACTCCTTGTGACTTATGATTTCCAATGAAACTATATTGTTCTTCGTTATTACTATTTCTTTGTCTCACCAAACCTCTGTTTACTGTCTCTCTAATATGCATTTCTTCTACTTTCTTCTCTTGCTTTGTGTGCTATATGGAGTGGAGGGAGTGTGGCGACTTGAACTGCTGCATATCGGTGCAATGTTCTATATCGAAAACAGATAGACAGAACGATATTGTTGTTTTCAATTAGACAGATCTCATCACAGGCTTAACTCTAATATGCCTACATAACTTTGCAAATAAGCATTCAAATATAAACCAATCATGGTGTTTTGTCTATGGGATAATAAGATGGTGTGCGTCGGTGGCACAGTGGTTAGGACGCTCGCCGACCATGCACATGGTCCGGGGTTCAATCCCCGGCCACCAATGCGCTCCTTTACCTCGCTAAGCCAGAAATAATGCCGGTAAAGAGGAAAGGTTGCGCACGAGGCTAGCAACCCCATCCTGTAAAAATAAACACTGCTACCGAAACTTCAAGCCACTAGCTTGAAGCCCTATGTTCCACTGGGGAACGTGAAGGAAAAAAATAATAAGATGGTGAATATAAATTGTGCAATTAGTCATAATAGGAATAATAATAATAATAGTGGCTACTACGGGTTGCCACCGACAATTATATATCTCATCCGACAGCTGTACGACAATGCTGCATGCCAAGTAATCCTTCGAAGTGAGGACAGGTGTAAGACAAGGCTGCCTACTATCGCCAATGATTTTCCTGATTGCAGTAGATTGGATAATGTGACAAACAGCGAGGAATGAGGAAACAGGCATAAAATGGACTCACACAAAGAACTTGGAGGATCTGGACTTCACCAATGATATATGTCTAATTTCTCACAAACTGGAAGATATGCAATTGAAAAGCAACAAGTTGGCAGAAGAAGCATCCAGAGAAGATAGGACTTCAGGTGAACATAGAGAAAACAGGGGTGATGAAGATTCCTGGCCTACACCAACAGCATCAACAACAACAGGCAACAATCAGCATAAATGGGAGGAATCTGAAAGAAACAACCTCTTTTACCTACCTACCTTGGAAGCATCTTTTCAACTACAGGCGGACGGAACTGACAAGGATATCAAAGCAGCGAGGATCTGGAAAGCAAGACAAGCTTTCATTACTCTCAAGTCTGTGTGGAGGAGATGAACAGCACTCAGCGTCAAAAATAAGATCCGGATATTCAACTCCAATGTAAAGTCAGTCAGTGCTACTATACGGATCAGACACTTGCATTGCGCGTCATCAAGAGCATCTGAAACAAACTACGGACCTTCATTATTAGTTGTCTTCGCTCAATACTCAAGATCAGATGGCCGGCCAGAAAAGATCAGCAACAGAGATCTCTGGGAGCGAACCCACTAGGAACCAATTGTGAAACTAATCTGCAGGAAGAAATGGAGATGGATTGACCATACTCTGAGGAAACTATCAAGTGACATCACTAGACAAGCTATTGCTCAGGTGGAAATCGAAAGTGAGGCGGTGAGTTGGTCGTAAGTTCGAGGATGAGGTTGACTTGGAGGAGGTCATGTGAAGAGGAGATGAAAAGGTGTGGGCAGACATGGAGCCAGGTGAAGACTCTAGCAGAGTATCGAACGCAATGGAGACGCACGGCTGTTCCTCTAGGAATTAAAGGAAATAATAATAATAATGGTCTTATCAATAATAAGGATGAAAGAATGATAACACGAATAATGAAAAAAAAACAGCATGAATAAACAAACAACTGTTCAGTTGGAAACCTCGCCTAGATTACTAGGTCACTAGTATTCTAGCCGGTCCCAAGCCCGGATAAAGAGGGAGGGTTGGGGCGTGGTGCTAGCAACTCCACCCCCAAAACTTAACCAAATTGCTACTAAAACTTCAACGCACAAATATATTCAAAATTCTAAAATTACAAATAGTGACCTTATTTCTCGCTGGAATCGGGGAAGTGAAATGACGCGGGCTGGTGAAAGCCTTCGGGAAGCCAGTCAGCCGATGTGCCTTCTTTCGATGAAAGCGAAAATAAGGATGGGGACGTGGAATGTTCGTACAATGTACGAAGCTGGGAAGGCTGCTCAGGTAGCCGCAGAAATGAGGAGATATAAAATAGAAGTGTTGGGAATCTGCGAGAGCAGATGGAACGGATGTGGAAGGAGCCAACTATCAACTGGAGAGACAATAATCTACTCCGGTCACCCAGAGGACGATCACGAGCACACCGAGGGAGTAGCCATCATGATGTCACCAACAGCGGCTAAAGCTCTCATGCAGTGGGAACCAATCTCCTCCAGGATAATGACAGCCAGGTTCAACTCAAAAGGAAAAAAGGTTACAATCATTCAGTGCTACGCGCCTACAAATGCCTCAGAACATGAGAAGAAGGAGGATTTCTACAGTCAACTACAAACAGTAATGGACAACGTCCCAAAGAGCGATATCAAAATCCTGATGGGCGACATGAATGCGAAACTGGGAGGAGACAATACAGGAAGAGAACTCACCATGGGTCGTGAGGCCCTCGGTGAAATGAACGACAATGGTGAACTCTTCTCAGACTTCTGCGCCTTCAATGATTTGGTGATTGGTGGCAGTGTGTTCAAACACAGGGATATACACAAGGCAACATGGATTTCACCAGATGGACACACCAAAAACCAGATAGACTTCATTTCAATCTCAAGGAAGTGGAGACGGAGCCTACTGGACACAAGATCGAGGAGAGGAGCAGATGTGGGTTCAGACCACTATCTAGTACAAGGGACTTTCAAGGTGAAGCTGAAAGCCTCGAGGATACCTGGGGATAGGCCACAATGCAAGTTCAACACTCACAAACTGAAGGACACAATCACACAGGACATTTTCACTGCAACTGTCAGAGCAAAGCAGGAAACACTACGTGGCACCACTGAGG